CCCCATTCCATTGTCAGCTCCTTGAGTACAGGGACTATCTTTTTTTTTTAATTTGTACTCCAGCACGTGGCACACAGTAGGTGTTTAGCAAATGTTTATTAATTGATTTTCTTTGAGCATAGAATCCATATAAGCAATAAACTACATAATAAAGTATTTACTACGTGTCCAGCTTCTCAGTAACTCCTCTGCAGTTTCCAGACAATAAATACAACAGCCAGGGCTTTATTCCCATTGTGGGAAATGCATAATTCAGTTTGTTCAGCCTCAGTGGCTACTCCCCCCGTGGCTGGGCAGAAGAGGAGAAATAATCCAGCACAGTTTGAAACCTGGTGGGACCAGCTGAGGCTCAAGAACTCTGAATTTGGGATCTAACATGTTATGTTATGTTATGTTATGTTATGTTATGTTATGTTATGTTATGTTATGTTATGTTATGTTATGTTACGTTACGTTACGTTACGTTAGGTTAGGTTAGGTTAGGTTAGGTTAGGTTAGGTTAGGTTATGTCATGAGGAGGGATGATTAATGGTGAAGGATGTATATTTTGAAATGTCTGAGGTATAAAAATAAAAATAAAAAGGAGCAAATAGACCAACTGCCCAAGATTCTGGAGATCAGCCAATGTGGTGAATTGTTTATAGCGGTGTTGATGGTATTGATCTTTGAACAAGGCTGTCATGCCATTCTGAAGTCTCCTTAAGTATGGGGATGTGGGGGGAGTGGGGAAGGACAGTGCATTATGTACACGACAGAGATGTGTCCTTCACTTACACCTGCTCAGCTCTGGATTTCTCCGAACTTTGCACGCGACAGCTGCTTACCCTTGGGCCTCTTCTCCTGGTAGGTAACTTCTTCCCCGGGGCCACCATTTCAGGAAGCACCCGCCATGTTCTATTTCACTGGTGCCTGGGCTTACTTCCCAGTCTTCTCAGTCTCCTCGTGTTTCTGCTGTTCCTCCTTCCCTTCCCTTTAAGCCCAGCTTTCTAACTTCTCTTTTGCGCGGGCTTCCTTCTTTAGAAACTAATAATATATTTGTTTCCCCAACACTTACCACAGTGTGTGGCACATAGTAAGCCTTTAAAAACCTCTCTCTCTCTCTCTCTGTCCCTCCCTCTCTCCCTTTCTCTTTCTCTCCTCTCCTCCCCCTCCCCCTTTCCTATCTACCAAATTTTTTTTTAATCTATGCTGGCTCTGGGTATGAAGTACTTGTGTGACTTTGAACAGATCATTTCTCTGTTCCCTCATTTGTAAAAAAGATGAGCTTGAATGGGATCTGAGTACTCAAGGTGTGGGCCTTGGACCCTTGCAGGATGGGGGGGGGCCCTAAGACCCTTTCAGGTGGTCTGTGAAATCAAAACTATTTTCATAATAATACTAAGATGTTATTTGACCATTAAAAAGAAAACCTCCTTCCTTTTCCAGCTACATATCTGTGTGAGGCCGGGTTTTGGTTTTGGTTTTTGTATAGAACTTCAGCCAAAATAACCCATCCCAACAGGCTGACGAAAGAAGCAGATAAGAGAATCCAGCTGTCTTCTATGAAACATTAAAGAGATTTGCAAAAATATGTAAAACATGCATAATGATACACATTTGTAATGGGTCTAGTTTTCCTTGCCTTCTCAATGGGTGGGAGGTGGAAGAGGGAGGAAGAAAATTCAGTGCCAAAAAAGGAAACTTGAATTAAAAAAAAAAGCAATGTTATTCTTCTCATTAATTTTGAGCTTTTGAAAATAGTTATTTTTCATAAAAAGATGTCAACATGTAATGGGTTTATTATCGTTATTTTTCGTGAATATTTTTAAATGGATCAGTATTAATTCCTAATATGGCAAATACTGATAGAAAGAACTACCTAAACCAAAGTTCTTTGGGGTTTGTCCTCAATCGTTTTGACCCAAGCCTTCTTTCAGCCAAAGACAAGGCTTATTAGAACACTAATCGAGGGTGGGCGAGATTTAAAGAATCCTCCATATTGGCCAGACTCTTAAGGAATCTAAGCATTTGAATCACTAATGCAGGCGGGCCAGATTGAATCTGAGCCCTTTAATGGAGGCAAGAAAGACTGTGGGAAGGATCTAGGAGTGGCCAAGTAGTTTGGGGTGAATGCCAGGGACCGGGACTAGGTGGCCAAGGGAGAATGGGGTCTCGATGGTATTAAGGGTGGGGAGTGGCCAGGGGAGATAAGGAGATAAGGAAGTAACAGACGAGGAAGATTGGACTGGGTCAGAGGTAACAGAATTGGGAGATTGGGCAGTAGCCACTAAGAAAGGTCAGTTGGTAGATGTGTTGATGCCTCAGGCGACTGCCAGAGACTTGACCACGTGGGGAGAGGAGAGAACTCAAGGAGAGTTAGGGGGGTGGTTCCCAGGGCCTGTACCCTGTCACAGACATTAGCCTCTCTCTAATGGTACTTGAGCCACTTTCGTTGTCTGATTGTAGGGTCTCTCTACCTCATGGGATCATGTCTTGGAGCCCTCTGACAGCCTGTGGAAGCCCAGGGAACCCCTGCTCAGAGCTCTGTGTTTAAATGCATCAAATATGGAGGATTACAAAAGAAGCCAATTCTATTGAAATAAAGGCGTCATTTTTTTCCACCCAAGTTCAGGGAGCCCCAAGGGATCTATGGACCATGCTCCCTGTTAAAATCCTAGCAGTGAGGCAGCTTGGTTTAGCCAAAAGAATACCAAGTTTGAAGTTGGGGGGCCTAGGCTTGAGTCTAGGCATCCCTCCTGGGTGACCTTGGCCACTTGTGCTCAGTACATATTCAACAAGTCAAGCCAGACAGCTAAGGAGCATTTATTGAGCACCTACTATGTGCTGGCATGGTGCTAAGTGTTGGGCCTACAAAGAAAGGCAAAGACACGGTCTCTCCTCCAGCAGCTCTCAGTCTCATGGGAGAGACCACCTGTAAAAGACCATGTTGTAAACGGCAAGACATATTCAATATAAACGGGAGACATCTCCGAGGCTGTAGTCCTGCTGTGAGGTAACTATAGTTAAGGAGAGTGGGGAGGATGAGGTGTTTGCTGAGGAGGAAAGCCAGGAGGTAGAAGAGCCTGAGAGGAGATGAGCAGAGAAGACAATTCTGGGTGGGACAGCCAGGGAAGATGCTGAGTCAGGAAATGGATCGAAAACCAAACAACCTAGGAGCATTTCTATCAGGGCACCAGGAGCCGCAGGATTCAGGGGGAAATGAGGCTGGACCTGGGTGCAGTCAGACGAATGGGTCCAGGTGCCATTGGACTCTCATACCGACCAGGAGCAAATCACTTCGCAACCTCTAGTTCGCAGACAGCTCTAAGGAAGGTGCTGATCTGCCCTGGTGAGGGGAGTTAGTACCCTGAACCGGTGAACTCACTGGACTGAGAAACCCAAGAGCTCACTACCTACCTCTCATAATGAAATCCGTTTGCTTAAGGGCTATCTCTAAGGAAGCCGTTAGGGGAACGTGGGGTGATTTCAACGAACTCATGCAGAGTGAGGAGAAATGCAACAATGGAAAAGGAAAGAATGAAAAAGACAGTGCTGGGTGATTAATAATAAGTTAACATTTCTTTAGCACTTTAAGGTTTGTAAAGTGCTTTACAAATATTCATTCTTCTTATGATAACCCTGGGGAGGCAGGTGCTTTTTATGATCCACATTTGAAAGGTAAGAAAACTAGGGCAGAGTTTAAGTGACTCAGGGTCACCCAAGTGTTAAGGAATGTTAAGGGGTCCCCCAAACTTGTCCTTTTGAATTGCCCTATTTTCTAGAAACACTGGACCCAGAGAATGCAGGAGGTCCTGAATGTGTCAAGGACAACCCCCCTCCTCCGCCCTGGCTGACACAGTTAATATCCAAGGCAGGATTTGAAATTAGCTCCTCCAAGACCCCAGCCCTCTATCTGGCTGCGTCTATTATCAACGACTAAGCTAATTATTAATGAATTCATCCTTAGAGAAGAGTTGAAAAAATGCACCTCCCTTCTTTTGAAAGGCTGGAGACTGTGGACTTGATTAAAGTGTGGCTTGTTTTTTGTAAGTTTTCATTGATATCTTTTGTTCCTAAATCACAGTTAACTCAATTAACCCTCCGCATCCCACATGTAACATCTTTTTCCGAAAAGTCCAGAACCCTGGGCCGTGCGGGCCGCCAGGACAGAGAGGGCTGCGGCGCTCAGCGCTTGGTCTGGCTGACCGGCTCTCCCTAGGAGCTGAGGCTGGAAAAGGGAGAAGAAGCAGAGGAGAATGGAGGAAGGGTGCGGGCTTCACATCCTAGCCTACTGCTTCTAGGACACGCGATCGAGGCGAGTCTCCCTCCCTCACCCGGCCTCAGTTTCCTCATCTGTCAAATGACAGCTCACAGAGGCAGGGAAGCGGGCCTTGTGGATGCTGCACCAGGCTTGGAGTCGGGAAGACCTGAGTTCAAAGGCAGCCTCCGACCCTTCCTAGCTGTGGGACCCTGGGCTTCAGCGCGTCACCTCTGCCTCAGTTTCCTCATCTGTCAAATGAGGATAGTAAGAGAGTAAGAGCACCCACCTCCCCAGGTTGGTGTCATGATAAAATGAGCTTAAGCATTTAAAGCGCTCTGCAAACTTCTAGGTGCATCTAGGCGCTCATTTTTATTATTATTGTTCAGTACGTGTTGATGTTGATGGTGAGGAAGACCACGATGACGTCACCAGAGGTCCTTCGATTCTAAGGTCCCTCCCCTGCCACTCCCCTCTATGCACAGTTTTGCCCCCGGGCTCCCTCAGGCCTCCAGGGGGCGCTCCGATTGTCCGGAGAACCCCGGGGGGGGGGCCTCACTTCGCACCGCCTATGGGCTTTCGGCGGCCGAGAACTACAAGTCCCAGAGTGCTACGGGGCGCCTGCGCGGGGGCGGGGCGCGCGCGCTCGCGGGCCCGGGCTCCGTCGGCCCGTCCATCGGGCCATGGAGGGGCGGGGCGGCGCGGCCATTGGACGAGCAGGCTGGGAGGGCGGGGCGACGGCGTGGGGACGGCCCCGGGGAGGGGCAGGCCGGCGGCTTGACTTGGGGCTGGGCCCGGCGGCGCTGCTGCTGCTGCTGCTGCGGCCGTTCGGAGCTGCCGGAGCTGTCGGAGCCGCCGCCTCCTAGTCCTCAGTCCTCAGCCATGGCCATGGCGCCCCTGAGAGTGTGCATCGTGGGCTCGGGCAACTGGTGAGCGCGGGCGCGGGCGGGAGAGGGCTGGGGTGGGGGGCAGCTGCGGCCCCGCCGCCCCACGCGCACCGCTCCCCGGCGGGACCGCCCGGGCCTGGGCGCTGCGCTCCGAGGATGGGGGTCCCCGTGCATCGGAGCCGAGATGGGAGCAGGGGGGACCCCGGCGGGCTGGCGCGGCACGCTGCAGCCCACGGGCGCGGGTGGACACCCCACTCTGCGGGAGGCCTGAGCGTGTGCGTGCGCCCGCTGACACCCCCGCCTCGCCTAGCTTAGGAGGGGGATGCGCAGCCCAGGGTGCGGGGACGAGTTTGGCGTGGGCGCGGGCCGTTTCCAGACTCCGCTCCTTTGCCTCGCCTGCTTGGGTAGCCCCAGGGGAGGGAGCCTCCGGGAGAACCCACACCTCGGGCGGAAGATCGAGGGGCTTATCGGGCCCCGTTGGGGTGGGGCTTTGTTGTTGGGGTCCAAGCCACATGGAGGTTTCTGCACGAGAGATTCGGGCCGTAGTTTGCAGCCGGCTGTGTGCCTGCCTCCCATAGCTGCTATCTGCCACCGCGGAGGGCGGGATCTTGGGCAGGCTGGGAGGGCCGCGCGGCTGGATAGCGCGTGCCCTTTGAACTTGGAGAAGGCTCTGTCCTCGCCCCCTTTCTCCGGGCTTCTAACCCTTGGCCTCCATCCTCCTAGGCTCGAGCCTCGAGGCATGACTTTGTGGGGTAGAGGTGGGAGCTTCCCTGTGACCAGGGAGCTCACTTCTCCTTTTTCAAACGCCATCCCCTTTTCCGTACTCAGACCCTGGCTGCTGGCTGCAAGGTATGGCCTTTTTGTCCGGGATGCTGCGCCCCTTCTTCATCCCCCAGCACTCTGGGTCATCTCCAGCTTCCCCGCCTTTGCCCAGGACAGGCTCCATACCTGGAGAGTAACCTCCCTTTTCCCCTCCCACTAGTAGAAGCCTTAGCTTTGCTCTAGGCTTTGCCGAATTACATTCTCTCCTATGTTCCTCCAAGTTGGGAACATACTCTTCATGTTTACTTTGTATCTTAGTATGAATTTATCAGCGTCCCTGGGCCTCTCTTGGCTAGGAGGTAAGTTCAAGTTTGGGCACAGTTCGGTGTTTGTGGCTTCATCCCCAGCCTAGCACAGTCTGGGTTCCGGTACAAACTTGGGGGGCAAGTCACTAACCTGCCGTCAGCCTCAGTTTCCTCTTCTGTAAAAGATACTCCTTGACTTCTGAGGTCCCTTCAGATGAGAGCTTATGAATCTGGGACTTTTTGTCACTGTTGCTGTTTCGGGGGCCCTTCTCCCTAACTTCCTCCTACCTGGGATTGCTTGGGCAGAAGAGCCCTGGGAGCCCAGTCGTTCCCTGTTGCCACATATCAGGAAGTCATGTTTCCAGTGGCACCAGATGCCAAGTATTTATTTATTGAGAGTCTTGCTGTTTAATAGATTGAGAGGCTGCCTCCTGGGTCCTTTAACCTTTCAGCCCCCCCATCTCTCTTTACAGAGAACTTTCCTGTGATCCTAAAAACCATAACTAGACCTTTAGGTTTGCAAAGCATTTGTCATTGGAACCACATAACAGCCCTGTGAGGTAGGTACTGTTATTATTTCCGTTTTACTCTGTTATTGTTCCCTTTTACAGATGAGGAGAGACTTACCAGTTTTATGGGCTTGTCGAGGGCCACACAGCCAGGAGGTGCCTAACTTGGTGATGAAAGCCATGTCTTTCACCTCCCCGGTTAATGCTTGTTCCACTCTGCCCTACTGTGTGCAGGGAAGTAAAGCAGTCAATGAGGGGTATCTGTCTGCCTTTGGCAGTAGGTGACTGCTCAACTTGCCTTGCTCCCAGCTGTGGTTATAGGGGAGAAATGAGCAGGAATTCTGAGCCCCTTCCCAACACGTGTGGATGGCCCCAGTGGCAAGGGGACCAGGCTGTCACCATCCTGTACCTTCAGTTTATCATGGCTTTGGGCTCTAGTGCTTAGCACAGGCCCTGGCATGTAGTAGGAACTTTGTGCACGTTGGTTGATTGAATGATCTTTAAATGTGTACCGACCAGCAGAGGGGAATGGATGTGTGTGTGTTCACATGGGGTGAATAGTCTCTCAGACTCCGACCTTTCCACACTCCGATTTGGGACCCTGTCTTTAGTCCCCTTCTAAGAGGTAGGACGGGAGATACCTTCTAGCTTCTTCTATAGCAGCCAGTGTTGTTGATCCAGAGTTCATTGTTAAAAAAAAAATGCTTACAGCGGTATTGCAGCATAACTGGTTTCCTTTGTAATCTTGTATGTTTTATTTTACGTATTTAAAAGCATATTCTGAGAAGGGAGTACTTAGGCTTTGCCAGACTGTGTGAGGGGGTCCAGAATACCCCTCCTTGTAGGAGGAGGGGCCTGTGATGAGGAGACGGCTGTATATTCTAGGAACTGGAGGAATTAATGTGGAAGGGAGCTTCAGAATCCGCCTCCCCAGGTCACTGCTTGGCTAGGGTGACCTGCCCAAGAGCGTTGCCCTTGGTCTTGGCTGGCATTTTACATAATCCTGAGAGACCTGGAAGCAGTTTTGACTTTGGGGAGCAGTGACCTTGGCTTGGCACAGGTATGTGGTCCATATTGTTTTTGTCTCTTTGTGTTTTCTCTACCCTCAAGCCCTTTTGTCTCTGCCTGGGCTGGATCTGACTGCTCACATGGAGACCTAAGCGTAGCTGGAGCTGTTGTTGTGAGCTGGCATTCGGGGCCCTCTTACTCTTAAGAATTGAAAAGGTCAGGCAGAATTGGAAAGAGACCCAGAACGCCTGTTTGCCCATTCCACCCAGGTAGAGTGACCTGGAATGTGAGGAACCAGATGGCAGCGTAGGGAGTTGGCTTTTACATGAATTCCATTACAAGAATGAATCGTTTGATCTTCACAACAACCTGGGAGGTGGGTGCCATTTATTATCCTCATCTTACAGCAGAGGAAACTGAGGGAGATAGAGGCCGCGTGACCTCTATCAATGAGGGGCACGCAGCTTGTAAGTGTCCAAGGCCAAATTTGAAATCAGGTCTTCCTGACTATAGACCCAGCACCTGGATTTTTACAGATGAGTAAACTGAGACCCAGAGAAGGGAAGGGACCTAACTCAAGGTCTCCCACCAGTTAAGTTGTGGAACTTAGACTCTAGCAATTAGGTGGCACAGGAAGACGAGTTCAAATCAAACTTCAGAACCTCAGTTCTTCATCTGTAAAATGAGAGGGTTATAGTTAGTGGCCTCTGGGGAAAGCACACAAGATGAGAAAAGGTTGAGTTCATGCTGCATCCCCTTGCCTCTGCATGGAGGGAGCTGGGCTGACGGTACTTCTGGCTTAGCTTTATTTATTTATTTATTTGCTTGTTTGTTTGTTTGTTTGTTTATTTAAGGCAACTGGGGTTAAGTGACTTGCCCAAGGTCACACAGCTAGTAAGTGTCAAGTGTTTGGTCTGAGGTCGAATTTGAACTCGGGTCCTCCTGATCTCAGGGCCGGCGCTCTATCCACTGTGCCACCTAGCTGCCCCGCTGACAGTATTTCTGTTCCTCCTTACAGGTCTGGGTCTAGGCTCACGCTGTGCTCAGCAGCCCCTCATAGCCCCAGCCCTCCACCCTCCTCTTTTCCTTCTCCACTTCTCCCCAAAGTTCCCTCCATAGGATTGCCCTACTTTGATGGGAGAGAAAGGAAGGAGGACATTAATTGCTTTCCCTCCTTCCGGCTATGACCAGGCAGTGCCGGGATCTTGGCTCATTTCTGCAGCTCTGGGTTTATTAGCACAGGCGGCCCTCCTCCTCCTTGTGCTTGTGAGAGGCCATGAGGTTTGATGAAGGGAACACTTCAGGTTGGGGGGAAGAGACTTGGGATTAAATCCCAGTTTGGCCAATGACTTATTGTGTGCCTGGGCCTATTTCCTCATCTCTGAAACGAGAGGGTTCTGAAGGCCTGTAATCCCAGTTACCTGGAAGCTGTAGCCAGCAGATAACTTGAACTTGGGAATTTTGAGCTGCAGTGGGATTGGCTGATCAGGTTTTCTTGTTAAGTCTGATATCAATATTGTGAGACCCTTGTGGGACAAAGGTAGCGGGAATGGGCATATTCACCTGTGTGGTCTTAGGTTCTGGGCCTTAGTTTCTTGCATCTGTAAAATGGGTATAAAATCTGCTCTGCCTTATAATCTTCCTGATTGTAAGCTCTATGGCCATCCTCCTCCTCCTCTGCCTCTCAGTGGAACCTTGGACTCTTCCCCTGGCTCTGAGACGTGAATTTTTGTCTCAAACTTGCCAGGGACTGACATCTTCTTACTCTGTAGCCAAGGACAAAACCCACCTGAGCCTCCACTCCCTTCATGCATTGTCTTCCCCCCTTTGAACAGAAGCTCTTTGAGGGCAGGAGCCATTTTGCTGTTTCTTGTATTTGTATCCCTAGTGCCTGCAACATAGTAAGTGCTTAATAAATGTCTTATCTAATAATAGCTAGCATTTATATAGTGGGTTAGTAGCTAGCAGTAATTAGCTAGTAGTAGTAGCATTTATATAGCATTTTAACGTTTATAAAATACTTTGCATATTTTAACTCATTTGATCCTCACAACAGACCCGGGAGGTGGATGTGGTTATTATCCCCATTTTACAGATGAGGAAACTTGCCCAGGATCCCACCGCTAGTACATGTCTGAGGCAAGATTTGGACTCAGTCCTCTTGACTTCAGGGCCAGCGCTCTATTCGCTGCACCACCCAGCTTTAAAGTTTGCAATATGCCCCATTGTTTGAGCCTTCTGCCTCTACCTGTTGTGAGATAATATTTGTAAAGGGCTTAGCACAGTGCCTGGCACACAGTTGGCGCTTAATAAATGCTTCCTTTTTGAGGATCAAACAAGATGTTTATAAAGTGCTGTGCAAACATTGCAGCCACTTGTAGACTGCTAGCTGCTGCTGCTGCTGTTTGTTATCATTATTTAGCAAACAAAGGGCTCATGACCTTAAAGTGAACCAAAA